ATTGTCCGCTCGATCGCGGAACCTCGCGCGGCCCCGCGGGCCCGCCCGGCCGCGCGCCGGGCCCGGGCCAGGCTGCCGCGCGGCCGCGCGCTTCTCAGATGGTAGTTGTACTTGAAAGACTGACACACTATTAATAGCTCATGTCCAATAATCAGAGTTGCTTGTTCGATTTCGATCACGGTCGGCCCGAACTGTTGGCAAAATTACCCGTACATGTTATCGAAATTCGACACAAGGCTCCAGTGATTCCTCTTCGGAAACTTAAGATGCAAAAAATAGTGTGACAGGGGTTGCGGCTACGCCGCAACTATTTCACCCTGAGGATCAAAAGGGGTCGGGCCCGCAGGGCCCGACCCCCCATCGCCTCCGGCGATGGCCGGCCCGACCCCCTGAATTTTCGCCCTTCCCAGCGCCATATGTGATAGTCGGGATAGTGATAAGCCCGGCTGCCGGGCACCTTTCGCCGTCGGCCCCCGAGCGGCCGGAAGCGATTCGAATTCTCTAGCTTCCTGAATCCTGAGTAGCCTGGCAGGTTCCAACCACGTGACCCCGTTTACGGTATTGTCAGTACCTAGCTACTAGAGGCCTTTGTGAGTTACCACGTACTATGCACCTGTAGAAGTACCTCTTGTGAAGGAATTGTATGCGGGCCTGAATACATATAGAGGATGAAGCTGCGACGGCGAACCTCCGGGGTGGGCAAAAACCTGCAAGGCTGGCAGGCTGCATGCAAGCCTTCTATTAAAATGGTTTGTGAAGTATGACAGTGAGTGGGACACACCAGCATACATGGGTATAACTTGTATTGGCTACACGTTTTGCACAAGATGCACGTGCTGCTTTAGCATGCAGGGACATCATGCAACATAATGCCATTGCTGTCGAAGCGTGGTCGAAGCAAAGAGGCACAAAAGCCACAACATTATGCATACCAATCAATGTCATTTGATGCAGGTGTATGCCCAGCACTAAAAGCAGTTTTCATTTGGCAAAGAAATGACCCTCGGCTACTGCCTGGCTACTATCCGAATTCCAAGACATGCAATATGAAAATTGGGCTAATATACAAGTCTTCTCAAGCTCCTTCCTCTAGCAGCAGATGCTTCCAAGATCCGGAACACTTGTTTATCAACCCAAAGATTCAACGGTGAAGCAACCTACGTCACTCCTTGTACTTGATCTTCTAGAACATCACGCTCGTCGTCGAGGAGCAATGCAGAACTGTCTCTCGAGTATGTCGCCCGGTAATCTTTTGCCGTTCGTGCTACATATGAGCCTGCAAAAGGGTGCAAGTATAGCCTGAAAGCTCAGCGCTGCAAGCTTGCAAAAGCATCGATGCAACAAAGACATTCTTGTGGCCTTTCCAGGGGTTCGCTACAAGAATCCCAAGGAGACCAATAACGTCGCAGCGAAAACCGTGTGCGCCTACGAGGGCGGTCCAATACGCCGGCTTCAAGTCTACCACTTCTACTACCAAAAATAGGAAGCCAAACGGTACGCCAACACTGACCGTGCACCCAGAAGGCGGCGCCCGCCAGCAGCAACGTGTTGAGTATCGTCACGCTCAGCCGCCAATCGTGCAGCCAATCCTGCAGCCGGCCAAGCAGGGGGGGCGACGGGACGTCTCCAAAAAGATGGATGGCCACAGTGCCCATGGCGCACGCAAACGGGCGTTGGGTTGGGGGAACGGACCACAGCGTGATGGCATTCACGGGGCCCTATGGGGGAAAAAGCGAGACACGCATCAGCTTTTGGATCAGAGCAAGAGCGCGGCTGAAGGGATCGGAGATGCGAGACATTGAACCGGTTTCGTGAGGGACGCTTTTGGGGGAAACGAACCACAGCGAAATTGGCGTTCACGGGCCCTATGGTGGAGAAAGCGAGACACGCCTCAGCCGTCGGATCAAAGGA